ACTTCCAGTACTATATTGAATAAGAGTGGTGAAAGAGGGCATCCTTTTCTAGTGCCGGATTTCAAAGGGAATGCTTCCAGTTTTTGCCCATTCAGTATGATATTGGCTGTTGGTTTGTCATAAATAGCTTTTATTACTTTGAGATACATTCCATCGATACCGAGTTTATTGAGGGTTTTTAGCATAAAGGGCTGTTGAATTTTGTCAAATGACTTCTCTGCGTCAATTGAGATAATTATGTGGTTTTTGCTTTTGGTTCTGTTTATGTGGTGAATTACGTTGATAGACTTGCGTATGTTGAACCAGCCTTGCATCCCCGGGATGAATCCTACTTGATCTTGATGAATAAGTTTTTTGATTTGCTGTTGCAATCGACTTGCCAATATTTTATTGAAGATTTTTGCATCTATGTTCATCATGGATATTGGCCTGAAGTTTTCTTTTCTCGTTGGGTCTCTGCCGGGTTTTGGTATCAGAATGATGTTGGTCTCATAAAATGATTTGGGAAGGATTCCCTCTTTTTGGATTGGTTGGAAGAGTTTTAGAAGGAATGGTACCAGCTCCTCCTTGTGTGTCTGGTAGAATTCGGCTGTGAACCCATCTGGACCTGGGCTTTTTTTGAGTGGTAGGCTCTTAATTGCTGCCTCGACTTCTGACCTTGTTATTGGTCTATTCATAGTTTCAGCTTCCTCCTGGTTTAGGCTTGGGAGGACACAGGAGTCCAGAAATTTATCCATTTCTTCCAGGTTTACTAGTTTATGTGCATAGAGTTGTTTGTAATATTCTCTGATGATAGTTTGAATTTCTGTGGAATCTGTGGTGATTTCCCCTTTATCATTTTTTATTGCATTGATTTGGTTGTTCTCTCTTTTCTTTTTAATCAATCTGGCTAGTGGTCTATTTTGTTGATCTTTTCAAAAAACCAGCTCTTGGATTTATTAATTTTTTGAAGGGTTTTTTGTGTCTCAATCTCCTTCAGTTCAGCTCTGATCTTAGTTATTTCTTGTCTTCTGCTGGGTTTTGAGTTTTTTTGATCTTGCTCCTCTAGCTCTTTCAATTTTGACGATAGGGTGTCAATTTTGGATCTCTCTATTCTCCTCATATGAGCACTTATTGCTATATACTTTCCTCTAGAGACTGCTTTAAATGTGTCCCAGAGGTTCTGGCATGTTGTGTCTTCATTCTCATTGGTTTCAAAGGACTTCTTTATTTCTGACTTCATTTCATTGTTTACCCAGTCAACATTCAAGATCCAGTTGTTCAGTTTCCATGAAGCTGTGCAGTTCTGGGTTGGTTTCTGTATTCTGAGTTCTTACTTGATTACACTATGGTCTGAGAGGCCGTTTGTTATGATTTCAGTTGTTTTGCATTTGTTGAGCAGTGCTTTACTTCCAATTATGTGGTCAATTTTAGAGTAGGTGTGATGTGGTGCTGAGAATAATGTATATTCTGTGGATTTGGGGTGGAGAGTTCTGTTAATGTCTCTCAGGTTTGCTTGCTCCAGGTCTGAGTTCAAGCCCTGGATATCCTTGTTGATTTTCTGTCTGGTTGATCTGTCTAATATTGACAGTGGAGTATGAAAGTCTCCCACTATTATTGTGTGGGAGTCTACGTCTCTTTGTAAGTCATTAAGAACTTGCCTTATGTATCTGGGTGCTCCTACATCGGGTCCACATATGTTCAGGATCTTTAGCTGTTCTTATTTTGTCGATCTTTTTACCATTATGTAATGGCCTTCTTTGTCTCTTTTGATCTTTGTTGCTTTAAAGTCTATTTTATCAGAGATGAGAATTGCAACTCCTACTTTTTATTTGCTTTCCATTTGCTTAGTAAATCTTTCTCCATCCCTTTATTTTGAGCCTTTGTGTATCCTTGCATGTGAGATGGGTTTCCTGGATACAGCACACTGATGGGTTTTGGATTTTTATCCAATTTGCCAATGTGTGTCTTTTGATTGGTGTATTTGGTCCATTTACATTTAGGGTTAATATTGTTATGTGTGAATTTGATACTGCCATTTTGATGCTAGCTCGCTGTTTTGCCTGTTAGTTTTTGTACATTCTTCAGTATGTTGATGCTCTTTAGCATTTAGTGTGATTTTGGAATGGCTGGTACTGGTTGTTCCTTTCTATGTGTAGTGCCTCTTTTAGGAGCTCTTGTAAAGCAGGCCTGGTGGTGACAAAATCTCTGAGTACTTGCTTGTTCGCAAAGGATTTTATTTTTCCTTCACTTCTGAAGCTCAGTTTGGCTGGATATGAAATTCTGGGTTGAAAGTTCTTTTCTTTAAGAATGTTGAATATTGGCCCCCACTCTCTTCTGGCTTGCAGTGTTTCTGCCGAGAGATCTGCTGTGAGTCTGATGGGCTTCCCTTTGTGGGTGACCCGACGTTTCTCTCTGGCTGCCCTTAGTATTTTCTTTTTTATTTCGACCTTGTTGAATCTGACGATTATGTGCCTTGGGGTTTCCCTTCTTGCGGAATATCTTTGTGGTGTTCTCTGTATTTCCTGCATTTGAGTGTTGACCTGTCTTGCTAGGTGGGGGAAATTTTTCTGGATAATGTCCTGAAGAGTATTTTCCAGCTTGGATTCATTCTCTTCGTCCCCTTCTGGTACACCTATCAAACGTAGGTTAGGTATCTTCACATAGTTCCACATTTCTTGGAGACTTTGTTCATTTCTTTTTGCGCTTTTTTCTCTAATCCTGGTTTCTTGTTTTATTTCATTGAGTTGGTCTTCGAATTCAGATATTCTTTCTGCTGCTTGGTCAATTCGGCTGTTGAAACTTGTCCATGCTTCTCGAAGTTTTCGTATTGTGTTTTTCAGCTCCTTTAATTCATTCATATTCCTCTCTAAATTATCCATTCTTGTTATCATTTCCTCAATTCTTTTTTCATATCTTTTTTCAAGTTCCTTAGTTTCTTTGCATTGATTTAATACATGTTCTTTTAGCTCACAAAAGTTTCTCATTATCCACCTTCTGATGTCTAATTTCGGCATTTTGTCACAGTCATTCTCCGTCCAGCTTTGTTCCCTTGCTGGTGAGGAGTTTTGTTTTTTTCTAGGAGGCCAGGTGTTCTAGTTTCGGGTGTTTTCCTCCTTTTTTCGCTGGTTTCTTCCCATCTTTGTGGATTTATCCGCTTGTCATCTGCATAGTTGCTGACTTTTCGATTGGGTCTCTGAGTGGATGCCCAGATTGTTGATGATGAAGTCTTTCTGTTACTTGGTTTTCCTTCTACCAGTCTAGCCCCTTCACTGTATGACTGCTGAGGTCCACTCCAGGCCCTGCTTGTTTGGGTTGCACCTATAGCAGCTGTGGTGCAGTGAGGGATGCTACCAGTTTCTTTTTCTGCTATCTTTGTCCCAGGATGATGCCTGCCAAATGTCAGTCTTTTGGTTATAGAGGGGTCAGGGAGCTGCTTGAGGAGACAGTCTGTACTTTTTAGGAGCTCAATTGCTGAGCTGTGAGCTGTGTTGTTCATTCAGGGCTGTTAGCCTGCTATGTTTGATTCTGCTGCAACAGAGCTCATTAAAAAACCCCTTTTTTTCTCAAATGATTTGTGTTAGGGGGTTCGGGCTTTATTTTTGGATGTCTGTTGAGGTGTCCTGCCCAGCTAGGAGGCAGACTAGCCACTGTTTGCCTGCCGAGGCTCCGCCCTGCTGTTGTGTGGTTTGCCCTGTTGCTGCAGGCTCTGCTGTCCTGCTGTGGTCTCCGCCACGCCCTGCGGCGGAGTCTCTCTGTTTTCAAAATTAACTGGGAAATGCTGATCAAATCTGATGAGGTGATATTGCACTTAAGTCTGGCTCAGGATGAAGGGAAGAGGGAAGAGATCAACTTAAAGCTGTCAAACAGGAAAGAATTAACTACAGAGTTAGTAAAAAAACAAAAAAAGCAGTTTTCTGATTAAAATGCCTAGAACTTAAAACAGTGGATCAAAAGATTTGTGCATTTTAAAATCTGATACATATAAACTTGTCAAATTTAATTCCAAAGAATTTATACCAATTTACAAATGCCATTGACAGTGTAAAAGGCTTTGTTGATCAAAGTGAACATTATCAAATTTTTATAAATGTGTTATTCGAACGTTTGAACATTGTAATTGTTACCGGAAAAACGATCCCAATCCAGACACCACGAGAGGGTTCTTGGATCTTGTACAAGAAATAATTGAAGGCAAATTCATAAAGTGAAAGCAAGTTTATTATAAACGTGAAGAAATAAAGAATGGTTACTCCACAGGCAAAACAGCAGCTTGGGCTGCCGATTGGCTATTTTTATGGTTATTTCTTATATGCTAAATAAAGAGTGGATTATTTGTAAATTTTCTGGGAAAGGGGTGGGCCATTCTCAGAACTGAGGCTTCCTCCTCCTTTTATACCTTATAGGGTAACTTTCTGGCATTGCCATGACATCTGTAAACTGTAATGGGAGTGCTGGTGAGAGTGTCTTTTGGCATGCTAATGCATTATACTTAGTGTATAATGAGCAGTGAGGATGACCAGTGGTCACTTTTATTGTCCTCTTGGTTTCGGTGGGTTTTGACTGGCTTCTTTACCACAACCTGTTTTATCAGCAAGGTATTTGTGACCTGTACCTTGTGCTAACCTCCTATCCCATCTTGTGACATAGAATGCCTAACCCCCTAGAAATGCAGCCCAGTAGGTCTCAGCTTCATTTTACCCAGCCCCTATTTAGGATGAAGTTGCTCTGGTTCGAACACCTCTAACATAATATTATATGTGAATATGCATATATTTAACAAGAATGGTTTTTGAGCATATGTACCTATATCAATACAGTTCTCTCTATATATTAAACAAGTCATTAAACATGATTACTGGCTTACCCTTTGCCTGTCATATGTGTTGTAAATATTTTTCCATTTTATTATTTATTTTTGATTCTTCTTATTCTATCTTGTCCTTGCAAAAAAATTAAATTTCTCAATTTAAAAGGAAAAGAAAAACACTTGTTTGAGAAAGAGAAGTAAAACAACAAACCTGGTCTCAAGGCCAGCAGCTGTGATCTAGAAGAAAAAGATAAAAGAGAAATTAAAATTACCCAAACCTTATAAAATGGAAAATTGTGGGGGTTGGGTAAATACTAGGAAAAAGAAAAAGAAACTAGAGTGGTAAGGGAGTATAACCCCAAAGCAAACCCATGATAATCCTATCTAATTTTCAAAACAATATAGCATTCATTATGTTCTACTATTTTTCTCATAATTCTATGACAGAGACTAGAAGAAACTTTAAATTGGCTTTATCGAGTCCTCAGATTGCCCTACCAGAGTAAAACAATTATTTTCTTTTGGCCTGATCTTGTTTGATATATATACACAGTTTACTCAAAATTGCAATTCCCACTCTGAATCTCTGCAATGCGTGTCAGCTACCTAATCGTTCAGACTCTGCTCTTTCTCTTAAGGGGTACTGAAAGTTCTATAAATATTTGGTGCATTGAAACAAAGAACATGTGTTCAAAATCAGACCCTATTAATTTTGAAATTTTCATTCTCACAACTCCCTCTCCTAACTCAAATTAATTCCTTTCATATTTCAATTTCTTCTTGTCTCATGTCAGGAAGAAGCTATTGATATTAACTCCTATCTGTACTTTCCTATTCCCAGAGGGAGAAGAAAACAAACAAAAAAGCAAGTGAGGCAATAACTCCAATAACAAACATTCCTAAGTCAACAAAAATTTTTTTCACTTTTCCACTGGTTGTGCTTCTTTGGCTGCAAGGTCCACTCTACATATTAATTCAAGAAGTATATCTGATAATATTGAGAACACTTATATTCCCCTTCAAAAAGCCTCCAAAGAAAAGACTCCAATAACTTCTGAACTTAATATCAAAACTTATATTTTAAAATGATACAATAACTTCTGAATAAATATACTCCCTTGACATTTCTTGTTAATCTAGTAACAAATATAAAAATTTAGTCTTACACGTAGACCTTTTAAAAATGTTCTCTAGTAACTAAAATAGTTGATATTTGTCTGGGGCCAAGATTATTTTCTGCCAGTTTACTCTCACCCTTTGGGATACTAGTATAAAAGATCTTCCTATTTATCATGGTGGCTCATTCTGGCTGTTTTGTCTCAGGAAGCAACCCATTGACTGCTTTACTTAACAGTCTGCAGTTGCTGAGGAATTCTGCATGAATTACTTCAGTGGAGAGTTTCTATTGTTTCTGCAAAGAAGATACCAGAACTAGGAAGAAAAGTAAAAGACCTCAAAGTTTTATCCTGACATTTAGTAAATATAACCTCTCCCCTCACCCTTCAGTCCTATTTGGAAATAATTCACTTTTTAGTTTATCTGTCCCAGTATTCTCAATATATATGTTATTTAGAAAAATTTGAATATAAGGCTTAACTGATTTATTAGCTATCAGCTAAACTTTGGTTGTCCTAATAACACTTACGAATTTAAATTTGCACCTGTAACAACTCAATTAGATTGCCAAGAATGCCCTTATAAACAAATAGTTTGTTTCTCTGAGGAAATATAAATTAGCCAGGCAGAAATTTTAGAGATGAAGTTTCACTGAGTCCTAACTTTATACTTCATGAAAGATGTATGATGATACTTGAAATGTTTTGAAATGTTAGCATTTCACATTTATTAAAATTCAAACACAATTTCTAAAACATTATTTAAACTAAAAATGGATTTTACTTTTCAGTTATTCACTCTTATACTTTTTAAAATGTGAATCCTCTACTACTAATGTGAAAAGTTGAGAGGCACCTAGATATCTCATGACTGGGTTTTCTATGTTATCTATACTATAAAATTTTTGTTTTTTTTACAAGAGATTATTTTTCTAAAGATCTTTCCAAAAATTATTGTACATAGAGTTGTTTCAGATACAGTTAAAATAATTCATATGTACAGTTTCAATACAATTTGAGAAATCATCACCACTGTTAGAAGAGTAAAGATATACATCACCTCCAAAAGATTCCTCATAGCCCTTTGCAATCTCTCTCTCCAGCCTTGCTCCCCAAGAAAAAAGGAATGTACTTTGTGTTATTATAGATTAGTTTGAATTTTCTAGAGGTTTATATTAATGGAATTAAATAATATGTACTCTTTATTTTCAGGCGTCATTCATTTGGGATAGTTTTTATATTCATCCATATTATTGGCAATTTATTTCTCTTTATGACTGAGTATTATTCCATCCTATGAATATACCACAATTTGTTTATCTATTTATCTCTTGATAGGCAATTAAATTATTTCTAGTTTTTGGCTTTTACATGCAAAAGTGCTATGAATATTCATGTACATGTATTTTTATGGACTGATATTTCATTTTTCCTAGGTAAATATCTAGGAGTAGAATAGCTGGATCAGATGTTAACTATATGTTTAAATTTATAAGAAATTCTGAAACTGTCAGAGGTGTTTGAACCAGAATGACTCCATCTTGAATAGGAGCTGGGTGAAATAAGGCTGAGACCTACTGGGCTGCATTCCCAAGAGGTTAGGCATTCTAATCACAGGATGAGATAGGAGGTCAGCACAAGATACAGGTCACAAAGACTGTGTTGATAAAACAGGTTGTGGTAAAGAAGCTGACCAAAACTCATGAAAATCAAAAAAAAGGATGAAAGTCTGGTCATCTTCACTGCTCATAATTATATGTTAATTACAGTGCAATAGCATGCTAAAAGACACTTCTACCAGCACCATGACAGTTAACTGATGTCATGGGAACACCAGGAAGTTACCCTGTATGGTCTAAAAGGGAAAGAAACCCTAAATTCCAGGAATTGTTCACACTTTTCTTGGAAAACTTATGAATAATCCACCCCTTATTTAGCATATAATGAAGAAATAGCCGTAAGTATACTCAGTTGAGCAACCCATGCTGCTTGCTGCTCCACCTACGCAGTAACCATTCTTTCATTCCTTTGTCTTCTTAATAAACTTGCTTTTACTTTACTCTATAGACTCACCCTGAATTATTTGTTGTGCAAGCTCCAAGAGGCTTCTTTTGGGATCAGGATCAGGACTTGTTTCTGGTAACAAAATTATTTTCCAAAAGGGTTGTATCATTTTATATTCTGACAGGCAGTAATTTAGAGTTCACGTTTCTGCACACATCTTTAACAACACTTGGTATGTATGGTCAGTTTTTTTCAATGTTAGCTATTCTAGTAAGTTTGCACTGTTACGTCATTGCATTTTAATTTAGATTTTCACTATGCTTAATGATGTTGTATTTTTTAGGTGTTTGCCATTTATGTATATTTTTAGGTAAAGTATTTATTCAAATATTTTGCTGGCTTTTTATTAGGTTTTTTGTTTTCTTACTGTTGTATGTATTCTAGATACAAGACCTTCATCAATTATATAATTTTCAAAGATCTTTTCTTAGTCTGTGGCTTTTCTTTTAATTTTCTTAATAGTGTCTTTCAAAAAGCAACACTTTTAAATTCTGATAAAGCCAATTATATTAATTTTTGTTTTATATATTGTATTTTTTGTGTGGAATTAAAAATCTTTTTGTAACTCAAGTTTGCAAAGATTTTTGTTTTCTTCTAAAGTTTTCTAGTTTTAGGATTTACATTTAAGTCTGTAGTCTGTGGTATATGGTGTGAGAGTGGATCAAAGTTTATAATATTTGCAAATGACAGGATCACATTTCTTTTTTATGGATGAATAGTACTCCATAAGACCTAATATCTATAAGTCCTACTATCTGATAGCACAACAGGGTGACTATAGTCAATAATAATTTATTGCACATTTTAAATAACTATAACAATATAATTGGATTGTTTGTAACACAAAGAATAAATGCTTGAGGGGATTGATACCTCAGTTTCCATGATGTAAATGCTATAATTGCATGCTTGTATCAAAATAACTCATGTACCCCATATATATATATACTACTCAATACCTCTAAAATTAAAATTTTTTTAAGTTTATAATATTTACATAGAGATATCCAATTACTCCATCCTCATTTGTTTACAAGACTATGTTTCCTCCATTTAATGGTTAATTGACTTTAAACCTTTGTAAAAATCAGTTGTCCCTATAGGTGTGAGTTCATTTCTAGACTATTTTTTTGTTCCATGGATCTATTTCTTTGTCATTAGGCTAATACCATACTGTTTTGATAACCGTAGCTTTATAATAATTATTGAAATTAAGTAGATTTAGCCTTCTAACTTCGCTTTTTTTCAAAATTTATTCAATTACCATAGGGGCTTTACATTTCCATATAAATTGTATAATCAGTTTGTTGATTTCTGTAAAAACATGTTAGAAATATAACTTGAATTGCATTGAAGTTATACATAAATTTTAAAAAATTAATCTTAACAGTATTAAAACATCTGACTAGTTAACAAAATGTATTTCTCAATTTATTTAAGTCTTATTTCTTTTCTTTATCATGTTTCAGCAGTTTTGTTTGTTAGTTTGTTTGTTTTAAACAGAGTCTCACTTTGTCACCCAGGAGTGCAGTGGCCTCACTGCTACTTCTGCCTCCTGGGTTCAAGTGATTCTCCTGCTTCAGCCTACCAAGAAGCTGGGTTTATAGGCACTCACCACAACGCCTGGCTGGTTTCTGTATCTTTAGGAGAGACAGAGTTTCACAATATTAATCATGCAGGTCTCAAACTCCTGACCTGTGATCCACCCGCCTTGGCCTCCCAAAGTGCTGGGATTACAGGTGAGACACTGCTCCTGGCCGGTTTAGTAGTTTTAAATGTGTATGTTTCTCACATATTTTGTCAGATTTACTTTTAAGTATTTTATATTTTTGATTCCACTATGAATAATAATTTTTAAAATTTCAGTATCTCATTTCATTGTTAGTATACTCAAATACAGTTTAATGTATAACAATCAGTCTTACACCCTGCAACTTTGCTAAACACATAAATTAGTATATTCCATTAGATTTTTAAAATATATGATCACATTGTCTGAGAAAAAAAGTTGTACTTCTTTCTTCTAAATGTAGGTGCCCTTTATTTATGTGTCTTGTT